TCCCCAGCCCAGCGGAGAAGAGCCCTCCCCTCCCAGCACTCCCACGCCACCGAGCACCCCTCCGCCCACGGCAGTGTTTCACGACAGTCCCAGTCCCACCGCTCCCCCGGCGTTCCAGTCAGGATCGCTTCCTCGCCCGAGGCCTGTGCCTAAACCACGCAACAGACCTACTGTTCCCCCTCCGCCCCAGCCTCCAGCCACAGGAAGTGACAGCAATGGAATTTGCAGTGCTGCTTTCAAAACAATGGGTGAAGCTCTTTTATTTCCGTCACTCTATGCTTCTGTTTAACTGCCTGATTGTTTGCGTTTCTGCGAGTTGCGTAAGGTTTCGGGGCAAATGAAGACTGTGTCTGAAAGCTGAATAGAATTTCGATGTAGCTACATAGGAAATAGTCGTTAAGAAAAGTGGATTCATTTGTAATACCACTGCTTGGTGAAATACTTCACAGAGATGCAGGATGCATTTATTCACACAGTTTAATAACAAAATGAGTGCGCATTTAACTCACTACTATTTTAGAACTGCATTTAACGACTAACATTTTAGAGTTGCACTTCTTTGCTCTGAACACTGTGGCTGTCCCAGTCAGTACTAGAGATCGACTGATAATTGATTTTTACAATTTTTACCTTTTTTTACTTAATTGTTTTTTCTTATCTACGATGTCAAACAATAAGTGCAACCTGAAGGATTTTACCCAAAATAGCACCCCAAATTAATACACTGCTATAACTTATTTAACATTTGACATTATGTCAATAGTATTACATAATTCTGCCATTTATGTTTTTGAGTGAGATATGTTGCAGATATCCTTGACGTGCAGCATTTTAGTGAAAGTAGGGATGCAAGCTTGTCACTGTTTGACAAGAAACGCCAGTTTGAATGTAACACGTTTTTGAAATGAAGACCGTATGGATATTAGTACTGTAATTTTTGTTGTTCTGTAAAATAAAATTTGTATTATTATTATAAATATCAAATAATATACTATTTTATTTTACAGCATGGTATTATTACTATAGTAATAGTTCTTTATTGGATTGTTTAATTGTTATAATTTAATAATAAAATATTATTATTTATTTATTCATTTAGTATCATTATTATTATAGTCCTGGAATAGGTTCCATAAAAAAAACTGTTAAAATAAAACTATATATTATGTAGGGTGAGTTTTTCCCTTATATCCTCATTCTAAGATAAACCGTAAATCCTCATTTTAAAGCCAATCCATTAATTTTTGAATTTACTGTTTTACAAGAAAGGCAGAAAAAAAATAGTAAAGCACTTTATTATTGTTTTTTATTCAGATGCCCAATTACAGTCAATAAATATTGTCTAATAAATTTAAGCACTGTATGTGCTTAACAGATTTATTAGATCACCTGTCATAATAAAAACAAATATTTTCATAATCTGTCAAAAACTTATAATAAACATATTATTGTCATTTATTAGGCAAGTAAACTTAAACAATAAATAGTTTTTATTCACACATTACCAAAAAATTATATTTTGTATGACCGCATTTGGCCTTGATAATAGCTTGCATTCTTGCTGGCATTGTTTTTATGTACTTTTCCACAGTTTCTGTTGTTATTGACTGTAATTAGGCATCTGAATAAAAAAAATAATAAAGTGTTTTACTATTTTTTTTTTCTGAATTTCTTGTAAAACAGCACATTAAAAAATTCATGGGTAACAACAATAATGATACTTTATCATTAGAAACACTACTGTGACTAAAGAGCTTACACATACTGGTGGATTAACCATTAAAGAAACATAAAAAATTATTTTGGTAATTACCAATACTGTTCGTTTAGGGCAGCTGTGGCACAAACCTTAGGGTGGTGGTGGTCTAATAAATTAAAGCACTGTTGAGCTTAATTTTGTATTTTGATTATTAACAATCCATTAGTCAGCATGGTCTGACTCCCTAATCTTGTATCTTACAGATTCGGGGATGACATTTAAACCACTGGCTCGTGCTCTTGTTCCTGATCTCGCCATTGAGAAGCCTGCTACCCAACTCAAGGACACAGACCTTGACACAGAGAGCACCGTCCTGTAAAAATGGCCTTGACCCCCAAACACCCTTTCCCTTAACCAAAGATTTGCTAAAGGGCTGCTCTTCTCACCATTACCAAAGTGTTTATAATCTTCACTGTATTTCTCGAATACCCTACGCTTAAGACAATCAACAATCCCAGTGGCACCAGGGAAACAGATGCACCGAGATTTTGCACGTTTATTTACACATGCCTTTCATTGTGATGGCAGCAAAAATGACCTGTATTGCATGAGGAACTGGGTCTGTACGGTGATGGGGTGAATTTGGTGAACGAGGTACTTGGAGGTGAGTCTTAAGTGACCTTAGCTAAACAAAGCAATTACTCGATTTAAAAGGTGGAAAACTGTGGCTTTATGTGTAGCTTGTGACTGCAGGTCTCCAGTCAGCTAATAACAGTACAAATACAGAACATTCCTTTTTTTTTTTTTTCATTTGCAAGCCTCACTTTTCCGGGTTGGAAACTAGTTTCATGCAATACTTTGGTTTATGGTATGCAAATGTCAAATGATTAGTTTTCTGCCTTTGACAGCTGATGATTTCATATTTTTGGGGCATTAAAATGACTGGACCTAAACATATGTGGTAGAGCACTACTCAGCTATGTGTAAAAGTAATCCTGATTGGATCATATGTGAAAAAGGCCATTTGTTATTGGACTCTAAATTGATTGCTAAAATTAGAAATAAAGTGTTTAGCTGTCAGTTTATGTAATGGAAAAGGTCAAAATATGTGCTTTAGTGATATTCTGGTATGGAAACTTTATGTTATGGCTTTGTTTGTATGTTTACCAGGCCTTGACAAGGATAGCTTTGTATTTCCCTCCTTTTACCCCTGATATGGTACCAAAGTGGGGAAAAATGTGCCACGCGGATGTTAGTCTTACTGTATAATAGCTAAGAGCAGACATAATTGCTTACATTTTTCCCTCCTTGTCTCATTTCCATAAACTCTCATTCAAAAACAAAACATTTGGGATATGATTCTGATCGATTCTCGTGTGAGGGGGAAAATGTAGGCGATCATGCTCAGTTAGCTTTTCTTTATACATTTTCCTTGCCTTTACCATGCTGCCTTACCTAAGTACACTTACAAGAGCTATTTTACTGAGGTTTGGAAAGTAAACTGACTTCACACTTATGAAACGAAAAGTTGACGGTGCATTTGAAGTTCAGAAGCCTGCATCTTTATTGAATTTGGAAAAAGACAAAAAATGCTTTGTATTACTGCTTCAAAGTGAAATAAAAAAAGAGTGAAATAAGAACAGGTGTTTCATTGTGTAGTTGTTGTCTTCTCAGATTTATTTATTTTTGGAAATGTATTTCTTCACCAGTAGTTTTGGATATATAGCGAGTGCAAAAAACACTAAAAATATTACACCATTTTAAGTTAACTGTGACCACCTACACTACAAATGAACACCACCGATGCCTCTAATGAGAGTCCATTAATGGTTTTACACACACTTGAATGCATATGTGGAGAGAATAAACAATGACCTGAGAATGACTGCATTTCTCCAGCTGAACTAACACTTGCGGTTTGCCATCATTCAGTTGATTCAATTGTATGCTCATTCATTTAACAACCTATGCTAGTCTTTTTGCACACTGAGTGTAAGCTGTCATTATTGTGTGAAATTACATTTAACAGAATTTTGCATCTTCTCTACTCCTATACAGCCTGAAGGGACCAACTGACTGTTCATTATTTTGCTTACAGGCCAACTTACAAAATAACTATTTTTATTTTATATGTGAAGAAAGAAACCATAGTGGAAAAACAAGCAGCACAGCTTTGGGGAATCAATGAGGACACTAGTCAATTATGTAGTGAATAATCACAATCGGCCAACCAGAATCCAGTTTCGCAGATATGAATAATTCATGCTTTCATTTCGGTTAGTTGCTTTTGGATTTTCTCCTCATTCTGATCTTTGAGCTCCTTGGTATAAAGGACTGATATAAACCAGATCTCACTCTAAACTGTGTCGGTGCCGATAACCTTGTGCAGCACGCCAACACATGAAGCCGTTGTGCTTCGGGTGTCCCGAGATCGAATCCCTCCTCGTGGACTTTTCCCGTTCCTACCCCCCATCTTTTGTTCTCCCACTCACTTCCTGTCATATCTATATTGTCCTGTTATAGAAAAATTGCAAAAACGCCACACACAAAAAAGGTATCATTTATTTATGAAGAGAGAATTTAGCCATATACTGTGCTGTTTTTGTCTCAGCAAATTATTTTTGTGTGTGTTTGTGTAATTGAGTTAAGTTTCTTGATAAACAGGCAGGGGTTTATTATTAGGAATTTTCCTGTATCCTCTGACTCTGTATACATATATCTAAGATCTTTGGTATTTGAAGCACTTATAGTGTTGCCTGGTAACGAGAACATTATGATGGCATTCAAAGTGGATATGGAGAGTGCACTGAAAAGAAAAGATTTTTGTATAATTGTGAAAATAAAAATGCTATTTAAAAAACAAACACTTTACAATCTGACATGATTAGAAGATACACCTTTAAATCAGATTTAAAACTGTTGTTAAATGTAACAGTAAAGCAGCTGTAAATAAATATACAAATAAATAGATAGATAGCCTATAACTTTAGGAATTAATAAAACCAAAATTGCCATTTTTGACTTTATTCCATTAGTAAAAAGTAGAAGAAATTCGGTCGGATTGAGATCTGTGGGATTTGGAGGCCAGGTCCATAAGGGAACATCTTAAAGAAGACCTCCATAAGTGGATACAGTTACAGTACAAAATAATTCCACAGAATTGAATTTCCGCAAAAGCGTATTTATTCAGGCAAAACGAATTAGACATCTGATTAAAACGCAGCAATATGTGGCCCTTCGATATTGAAGCCGATATAGAACTGCTCGGGAAAACACTAGGTTAGTCACGCCAACAATTTGTACACAAATATTAATTTACAACTAATTAATTTGGTAAAACATATTCAATATAACAAATCGATACAGAAACAATCAAAACAGGAATACATTACATAAATAGAAATACTCTGCTACATGCAAATGCAAATTGTAGGTTTTCTCCTCGTTGATTGGTTCTGACAAGAAACTAAGAAAAATACACAAAAATGACAAAAACAGGCAATAAGGAAGATCATGCATTTGTTCAAGAACAGAAGACACCAGGAAGAAATGCATTGGGTTATCTTAAACAATAGTACCTAAAAAAAGTCAGACAAGCTACATACTCATTTTAAAAGAACAGATGATATGTGTACCCTTCTGCCATTTAATAATGTGAAGCTTTTGCATCTTCTTTTCATAGTTGAAAACCAATTTCATGATGTAAAACCTACCACAGATTGTCATGCGGGATGAAACCACCGATCAATTGCACAACTAATATTGCAATAAAATACAAATGATCATTGATTTGGAAAATAGTTTTATCTTCACTTATGAAGGGTGCACTCTTGTTCTGCTATAATATCAGCGTATCACAACGGAGTACAACAATAAAACACTAATACTGAGAAGAATTTAAAACTCATCTGAAACTTTTTTGTGTGTGTGTTAAAATACATTTGGCTTGAGGATGAGTAAGTATACCATACCAAAGTATACCAAAATATACCATCAAAAATACCTTTCAATCCTCTTCACCTGAAGTGTGCATGTTCCTGTTACATTCTCTAGCAGCTGGAAATCTCAAAACAAAATGATTATTATTAGGCTATATTAATATACTTTCTCGCTGAAGTTCTGTATAAAATATATATCTTTTTTTATTCTAAAGATATTTTTAATTCATCGAAGACATTTAAAGTAAGGTTCATTTCCCTTCACGCTATCAAGTTCCCTGTTTTTATTGGCACATGGGCGTTCTGGGTTAGAAACAGCAGATGCTGTTGGTTTCACCATGCCAGCGGCGAGGCTATTCGGGGGCTTCTGGGGTTTTCTGTTCCTTGCGTCTCACTCAGTGCTCTCTGTTGAATACAAAATCAGCAAACTCTTACTTCACAGCTTTAGTGTAATTACAACTGTGAAAATGGCAGCATTTAAGAAACTCACCTCAAATTTGGAGATAAATTCGGCGAAGATGCCAAAGAAGGTTTCTGTGGTCGTGGCCTTACTGTCTTCTCCAAAGTAAGAGGCCACTTTATGAAACTCATCCATTGCTCTTAGCTGCAAGGAGTCTAGGGACTGCACAGCTGGATGACAGTTTTCCAGAAAGCTCTAATATCAGAGTTAAGGGCTGATACACTGCAACGGAAGTTCGATATATATATATATTCTCACAGGATAGCTGTACTTCTCACTAACAAACTCATTCAGAAAAGGCTGTGGATTGGTGGATACACTCATAACCGATGCGAAGCGATCCTCTGCAGTAGCTGGGATTTTCACACAGGCGGTTCTTATGTCTTGGATGGTGGAGTGAAGGTCACTGAGCTCAGCAGTAATGGTCCTCTGATTGACTGAATTTACGATGAAAATACAGGAACATCAATCATTCATCAATACATTTAATTGACATAGTTGCAAATTTTATGTCTGTGTTCCTATTTAAACCAACAGCAACAAACAAAAACTCTATTAGGAATTACTTTCCAACAGAGGTAAAACGTTTGAGGTCAGTAAGATTCTTTTAAAGAAATGTATTCAGCAATGATGCATTAAATTGATCAAACGTGATAGTAATAACATTTATAATGTTACAAAAGATTTCTATTTCAAATACTGTAAATGTTGTTCTTGTAAACTTTCTGTTCTGTAAACAATCCTGAAAAAAATGTACCATGGTTTTCACAAAAATATTAAGCATCACAACTTTTTTCAACATTGATAATACTGAGAACAATTTCTTTAGAGTATTACACAATATTATTGTTTTTACTGTATTTTTGATGACTTGGTGAGCATAAGTGACTTATTTAGAAAAGATTTCAAAATTCTTACCGACCCCAAACTTCTGAACAGAGGTGTACTGTATATACAAATATCTAACGGGAAGTTGTTCTGACTGACACCTTACCTTTGGCAGCTAGTGGCACTGTTATGAGGTCCCTGGCGAAGTCGATGAGTTCTGGGAAGTGTTGGCATAATGATTTGGCAAGAATATGGAGGAAAGTCGACTTTCCATCAACTGTTTTTGTTGTGTTCAGCTGAGGAGTATTTTAATCCATTATTAGGAGAAACATCAAAAATATGAACGTTTAATAAAAACACTGGTCACACTTTATTTTAAGGTCCAATTCTCACTATTAACAGAGCATTAAGTACGACGTTTGCCTCAATAAACTCCTAATTTGCTGCTTATTAAGAGTTAGTAAGGTTGTTGTTAAGTTTAGGTATTGGGTAGGATTAGGGATGTAGAATATGATCATGCCGAATATGTGCTTTAATAAACAACCAATATGTTAATAATAGGCATGCTAATAAGCAACTAGTTAATAGTGAGAATTGGTCTCTATACTAAAGTGTTACCAAAACATTGCAATGTTTTGTCTGTAATAATTGCACACATACCTCGGTAAGAAAATTAATTTTGAATCCTGTTGTTTTATTTGTCTTGGGTTGACCATTATTCAGATAATTTCCCATTGCTAAAACAAACTAAAAACACAAAAAGTGTACAAACCGTAAGAATAATATTTAAATAAATAGCAAATATTTCAAAACGAGTGGCTCCGAAAACACCAACTCCTCTGCAGAAGATTTTCTAAAAGATACAACATTTATAATTCAGTCATATCTACTGAATAAAGTGTTTTACCTCCAGGATCTTGGCCAACCTCTTGCTGTTTTTAAGCTCTAATGAGGCTTTGTATATGCATTCATATGCGCCTCTCATTTCTTCTGTTTTCTCCTGCACAGTGGTCTTAAAAAGAAGACTCCTCAGTCTGGTTTTATACTCAGGAACTAGCAGCATCTGTAGAACAAGCCCACAAAGAATCCATGAATATGTACATGAATTATAACAGAACTCTGTTAAACAGCTGGAACTCAAGTAGTAGTAACTCAACAGCACCTGTAGGACAAACTGGTCAGGCTCGCTAAGTTTGGCAGGGTCCTGGTTGTAATGCTGAAACTGTTTGACCTCCTCGTCATCAGGAGCGTAAAGCAACAGTTGTTTAATGTGTGCGGGCTCCAGACGCTCAGTGCTCATGGTCATGAGGATTTCTCGCAGCTCCTTCGGGGACAGCTTCAGATGCGCTATGAGGATAGCTGAACAGGGCAGCCAGATGTGATGAGATATGGATTCTTAACCTTCTCATTGGGCAAATTCCCACACAGTTGCTACAGCAGCAAATACTTACAGCACCTCTTTAACCTACTCCTACACATCTACGTCACATGAGACGACAAACCTGACTCAACCCAGAGCACTTCAACCCAACCCTACTCATACTCACAGGCATTGTAGGCCTTTTTATGGGAGAGAATCTCGACCACGTCTTTCTTTTTAAAGTTCTCGGGCAGGAAAGTGGGCTCTGGAAGAGAGACTGACACATTTAATAACAGTGTAAGGATGAGCTCAATATACTACAATATACTACTGTATGGAGGGTTATGAGACTGAGAAGGGGCTGTAAGATGCCAATAACTGGATGAGAATGATGGGATCGGAGACAGACATACAGTAGCTCTCCATGAGAGATGAGCTGAAAAGCACAAAGATAGACAAGGTAATTGCGTTCATTTTCACCATCAAAATGACAAGCTACAAACCGGATGCCACATGTGGATGAAGACAGCAATATACAGACGATGTTGAGATGTTGTGTTCCTAAAAAGTCTTTGCCTCCGTCTGAATGATATGTCATTATATACATATATTTATGTCTGTATATTACATATACAGTACACTACCATCAAAAGTTTGGGGTCAGTAAGACTCTGTGGTCACACTTTATTTTAAGGTCAAATTCTCGCTATTAACAAACCATAAAATATGAAGAAATTAATACTTATTATACTAATTATTATACTAATATACACATTTTTCAGCAAGGATGCATTAAATAAAAGGTGAAAGTAAAGACATGTATAATGTTACAAAGAAATACAAAGGAGCACGACTGTTTTCTACATTGATAATAATAACAAAAAATTTTGAGCACCAAATCAGCACATTAAAATAATATCTGAAGGTGTGAAATGTCAACTTGGCCATCACAGGAATAAATAACATTTTTAAATATATTAAAATAGAAAAGAGTTATTTTAAAATAAATTTAAAAATTGAGTTTTTCAAAAACATAAAAAAAACATTTTTTTATAAAACCACTAAACTTTTGAACGGAAGTGTAATAAATTGTATTACTTTAATAAATTATAAAATAAATTAATAAATTAAATATATAATAAATATAAAGTAACATTGCATTCAATTATTACATAATAATTAATTTCTTAAATTAATTTAAAAAATTCCTTCGCCATGATCTGAAACACTCCAATACAGGAAGCATTTAAATATATGAAAGATATATGTTGTTGTGTTTTTTGTTCATGATTTTTGAAATTCTTAGTATTGGTTGATGATCTGAAGACATTCAGTGTAAAAACACAGAAAATCAGACGGGGCAAAAAACACTCTTTCACAGCACTGTATGAAAAGGGGATGATGATGCAATACTACACTGAAGCAGCTATAACAAAATAGAGAACTTACTGGAATTCCTCTGTGTGCCGAAGTACAGATCCAGATCCAGGTACTTGACCATGTCACTGAGTTTATGATAATCAGGATCATCTCCAAGCTAGAAAACAGATCATCTGTACTTAATAACATCTCATCACTTCAACATGGTTCTGAGGCGCACTGTGGTTGTTATGTATCACTAACCAACCTGTCCCCAGATAGTTCCTTCAGAGTTCTCCACCTGCTCCCAGCGCAGTCTCTTCACGCTCATGTGGTTGTTGTCAGAGGCTTTCGGGCTGGCTTTGGGCAAAGGTGGAGGATCACAAGGTGGGGGTAAAGGAGGTGGCGGTGGTGGGGGAACCTTGGTTGAGAGCGTACCATCATAGCTTTGTTGGGAAGGCAGGGAATGGAGGCGCTTTTGTTTGGTCAGGTTAGGGGAGGTTCTGGGGGCAGAGGTCTGCTGGCTCTGGTAGATGGACTGGGTGGGATGTCGTAGGTGAGTGTGCTGTGTGCTTGCGTGCGGGGGTTGAGGGGAGGTGCGCGGGGATGACTGTAGGATGGGGTGAGCCTTTGGTTGGTGCAGCTGGAGAATGGGTGGAGCGCTGGGCTGGGGAGAGGAGCGTCGGGGACGGGTGTGCTGGGCCCTGAGCTCCTCACTGGTGGGCAGCACCTTGTGCAACGGGGCAAGTGCTCTGGGGTGAGGGGCAGGGGCGACGGTGGGTCGGTGAACTGGATGGGAGGTGGCGGAGGCGGAGGACTCTGTGGGGGAGGAGGGATGTGGTCAGAGCCTGAGGAGTAGGAGACTGAGGTGGAGTCATCGCTGCTGCTGTGGTCTTCACTGCTGGCACTGCTTAACTCATGAGGCAGCATGTTCACTTCCTGGTCATCCTGGAAACTCATCTGCCAGTGTCACAAAAACAATTAGGGCTTAAAAAAACAACATTGTATGGTACAAAAATGTATATAATGCTCCTACTAAAATAAATAATAAAATAAAATAAAATAAAATAAAATAAAATAAAATAAAATAAAATAAAATAAAATAAAATAAAATAAAATAAAATAAAATAAAATAAAATAAAATAAAATAAAATAAAATAAAATAAAATAAAATAAAATAAAATAAAATAAAATAAAATAAAATAAAATAAAATAAAATAAAATAAAATAAAATAAAATAAAATAATAAAATGAAATGAAATGAAATGAAATTAAATTAAATGTGACCTTACATATGAAAAGCGTTTAAAGAATGGATAGATGCAAAATATCAAATAAATAAATATAAATTAAATTTAAAGAATGGATAAATAGAAAATAAATAAATAACATAAGAAATGTGACCTTACATTGGACAAGAGGTTTGGAAAAAAAAATCAAATCAAATCAAATCAAATCAAATCTGACCTTACATTGGACTAAAGGTTTGGAAAGTGGATGGAAGAAAAACATTTAAAAAAACAATAAAAATGTGACCTTGCATATGAAAAGCGTTTAAAGAATGGATAGATGCAAAATATCAAATAAATAAACATAAATGAAATGTAAAAAATGGATAGATGGTAAACAAACAAATAAATAAACAAACAAACAAATAAATAACATAAGAAATGTGACCTTACATTGGACAAGAGGTTTGGAAAATGGATGGAGGAAAAAAGTAAAGTAAAGTAAAATAAAAGCAACCCTCCATAAGACAATTGTTTTGGAGGATGGGTAGAAAAAATTATAATAAAATAGAATAAAAATAAAATAAAATGAGTTTATAATTTATCATTTATATAAATAAATAACTCTTTGTGAATATTATAATATGAAAATTTTGTGATATTTAATTGGCCAGGCTATAGTAACCTCTTTCTGTATCTGACACAAACCTCCTCATAATCATTCTCCCCTCCCTTAAAGTCATCCACGATATTGACCCGGTGTCCCAACTGCTCGCTCAGAGCATCCAGGAACTTGTCGGTGTCTCGGCTGCGAGGTGGACGTGAGAAGGTGAAGAGTTTCCTGCGCTGGGGCAGAGGACTGGGTTCATCAGAAGGCAGAGGGGAGGCAGGGGGGCTGTCTAAACTAACATAAGGATTAGAGTCCACACTGTCTGGAGAAGGAACAGTCTGCTGGTAAGGCTCAAACTGAGGGCCAGGAAAGGATTCAGTCCATGAAAGAGAGAGGCCTGACTTACGGTTCCCTGCAAAATGAACAAAATCATGAGGAACATTTAAACTACACAGGAATACTTATCAGAGATCTTATTGTTCTAAATGTTCTAAAACGTTTTAAATTGATCCAGATAAAGAACTATAACATGCTAATACATTAAACTAGGGATTTTCAAACTTGTTGATGCCATGGCCCTACTTGTAAGGCCATAAAAAATAATTGGCTTGTATATAGTCATTGCAAAACAAAACCATTACAATATTATTTGTTAAATATTTAAATTGAATTGGAGAGTACACCCACTTTTAAATTATCATCCAACTCTAAAGAGAAACATTTACAATTAAATTAATTTTTGTATAATCATTTGCACAACAAATATGTATCCAAATCCATTTTTTTTCTGCCAACTTATAATATCCAAATTAGATTTTTCTTAATTTCTTACTCTTAAAAGCTATTATCAATAAATAAATGCTATGTAAAAGCTATGTCAACAAATAAATAAATAAATAAGTAGTAACAATAATAATATAAGTACAGTTAATAACAGTAATAATGTTAAAGAAATGATGGTAACGCTTTACAATAAAGTGTTAGTTAACACTCATTAATGCATTACCTAACATTAACTAACAATGAGCCATACATTTATTACAGTATTTATTCATCTTTTTTTAATGTTAGTTAATAAAAATACAACTAGCTAGTTCATGTTAGCTCAGGTTCATTAACTAATGTTAATAGACTTTTTATTTAGATTTTGTTGAAATGAATGTTAACTAAGATTAATAAATGCTTTAGAAGTATTTGTCATTGCTCATGTAATGTAGTTAACTAATGTTACTAAATGTAACATTATTATAAAGTGTTACCAAAACTATGTATAAAACAGATTTAATTAATATCTTCAGTTAGTGTGTTAACTTTAAAAGCCCTCCAAAAATATTCTGTAATTCTTTTAACTCTCAAAGAAAAATAAAACCTATTTAACCCCTTGTGGCTCCCTGGACCCCAGTTTGAAAACCCCTGTTTTCTATCTTAAATTATCTACATAAGCAAGTACATTTAGTGTAAATTTGTCACACAGGTCCCACACAGCCATTTTTATTATTTTTTTTTTTTTGGAGGCACCATGTGTCAATTGTGGATGTCAAAACAAACTCAGAATACCTGCGTTACTGTGTGTGAAAGACTGAGTGTATGTGTTGTTCTCAGTGTGGCCCATGCCAACAGCCCTGGGTGAGGAGTGACTCTGGAGAGACTGGTTGCTCTTCCCGGGAAACATGTTCTCAAGCTCCGTGTACACTCCTGACATCTACGGGTTGGGGGTGGTTAGATGAGACTATGCATGATTTCATAACAGCAGTGATGACAGTGCAATGAATTGCGGATGAGCAGTAAATGGTACCCACGTGGCTGAGATCTGGGGACTCTGGGAAGGAAGTCCCATCCCCACACTGTCTTTCCTCTGGAGTCACAGGGTCAGTGAATGTTCCTGAGACACAGAGAGAGCGCGGTCCAGAAACAGAGCACGTGCACAGAAAGCTGCTTGCCCTTCAGGAGCTAAAAAGAGACTGAGGGCAGTCAGCTTCAGCAGCGGGTCTGGCCGGTAGGTGGCTGAGAGGTGCACAGCGATTGCAAGCAGTTTATAGCTTTAGCCTAATAGATGCTGGTGAATCATAAACATGGCTGAGAGCAGTTCTGATTGCTTGTTTACCCCAAAGAGGGACAGAATGACATGGCTATCGGAAACAATGTTACAATGGAGCAATGCATAGCATAAACAGTATTCTATATAAACTTATTGGCCTATATCAGTTCTACATCATACTATGAGCAGGATCCAAAATTAACAAGTATGAAGCATCAAATAAGAGTAACAAATTTATTTTATTTGTGATACTGAAGACTATAGTAATGGTTGTTAAAAAGTCATATTTGCCATCACAAGAATAACTTTTAAAAATACATTAAAATAGAAATTAGTTATTTTAAATTGTAATAATATTTCTCAATATTATGATTTTTACTGTTTTTTGATCAAATAAATGCATAAGAGACTTCTTTTTTCAAAAATATTAAAAAATCTTAGCAAAACCCCCAAAACTTTTCAGTTTATAGTGTATATATACATTAAATAAAAATATTATATTATATTATATTATTATACAATTTTCATGTATTTATATGTTCAGTGTGGAAAAAGTTCATTTTGGACCCTGCTTTTTTGTCTAAATCCAAAACACTGATAGGGGAAACTGTCATACCCATTCCCAGGTGAGTGCCGATGATGCAGTCGTCTGAGCTTCTCTCTCTCACAGTGTTTTTGTGAGAGGTACCTGACACTCGCATGGAGCTGCTCCGTCTGTGGGTTTCTGGACCTACCTCTGGTTCTGCGGTAATAAACATGCACAGTTAGAATGCAATCAGGACAGAAAACCCCTGACATTCAAACAGTAAAGCCACAGCTAACCTGCACTCTTGAAGCCCAGGAAGCGGGCGATCTTGCTCTTGCAGTGTTCCTGTTCCTCGTAGGTCAGCAGCTGGTAAATGAACTGCCAAATCAGCTGCTTGGCTGGAGTGTCCAGCACTGGAAACACGTCTACAATGAGTGTGTCCACATTCCTGTTTACATGCAACAGAGGGAGCCATTTTAGAAATAATTGGGCTGCTCTCTCAGCAAGCAGTCGCACCAGTGAGCGTTATTTATTACATTTGGAAGAACCCACAGATTGTTCTTGATTGTGAGTATCTATTTGTGCTTGAGGCTGAAGCTATTTTTGAATGCTTTTCACATTTGCCTTGCTGCTGCCAAGCGACAGAAAATCCCTCGCTGTGGGAACAGTATGCTATGATATTTGTAATCATATGGCAGGATGGTTACAGTTTATAAGTGTTAATTAGCTCTGAAATTCTAACTTGTATGTTTTTTTGTCAAACACTGCATTGGTCACTTAAGTCATGACTATAAAATACAATATCTTTCATTAAAAGAAATGCACTTTGGAATAATTACAATGTTTTGATGTTTGTGAAACAAAGGTTGCATTTATTTGATTAAAAAGACAGAAAAATAATAATATTGTGAAATATTGTTACAATTTAACATAACTGTTTTCTATTTGAATATATTTTAAAATGTAGTTTATTCCCGTGATGGCAAAGCTGAATTTTCAGCAGCCATTACTCCAGTCTTCAGTATCACATGATCCTTCAGAAATGATTCTAATATGCTGATTTTGGTGCTCAATTATTATTATTGGTACTCAATTATCAACAATGATTCTTATTATTACCAATGATATTATTATTATTTGCTGCTTAATATTTTTGTGGAAATCATGATCCATTTTTTCAAGATTCTTTGATGAATAGAAAGATGAAAAGAACAGCATTTATTTGAAGATTATAGAAATTATTTGTATAAATGTCTTTACTGTCACTTTTGATCAATTTAAATTTTCCTTGTGGCCTAAAAGTATTGCTTTCTCTTTTTTATTCACCCTAAACTTTTGAATGGTATAGTGTATCACTTCTTACACAAACATAGTAAGTTTTTTTAGTAAGTGAATAGTTTTCAGCATTGATAATAGGAAGAAATGTTTCTGGAGCAGCAAATCAGCATGTTAGAATGATTTCTGATTGATCATGTAACACTGAAGACTGACATAATGAATAATGAATGCTAAAAATTTAGTGATGCCATATATATATATATATATATATATATTACATCAAATAAATGCAGCCTTCGTGAGCAAAAGAGCCTTCAACAACATAAAAAAAAATCTCTATATAAATTATATAACTGAATTATTCCAAACTCTTGACCTGCATAAGTACTGTTGTTACGGTTCCAAACAACTCAGACCACCAGATCTAATCAAAATTTGCTATGGTGACAAGTCAGACTGTCCTCTATCAGTCTTCTATCAGCCAAATTTCACAACTTTCCCGCAAGTGGTTCTATGGGCTGCCATAGACTTTCGGCGGAAGAAGAAAAATTTAGCTAACGGATACAATAGGTGCCACTGCACCTTCGGTGCTTGGCCCCTAATCACAAGCATGCTGGGAGCCACATACACAACTCCTTTTTGTTTTGCTAAGACAGTATTTAGGCCCAATCCCAATTCTACCCCTTAGCCCTTCCCCTTTCCTCCGTTTCGCGCGTTCACGTGAAGGGGTAGGGGTGTCTCGAATAGTATTGGTGTCCCAATTCTTAGAGGAATATTTTCACCCCTACCCCTTGACACTCTGTTTCAAGGGACAAGGGGAAGGGGTAGGCGGAGGGGTAGGGGAAGGGGTATAAAATAGAATTGGGATTGGGCCTTAATCTCAGTACTGCCAACCTCAAGTAATATACCACTAAGTCATGTGTCTGCTCCCACTCAGCCATGATGAATTTTGACCTGACCTGTGCTGGAAGAAGGTCTCCAGAGCTTTGCAAATGGTATATCTTTCTTGCAGGGTGAGGAGGTGTTCAAGTTGCTGGCTGAAGGTACGGCCGTGTACGCGGATGCTGGGAGGCAGGATCTCGGCCACCCACTGCAGGGAGCTGAGGGCCGGGGAGCGCGAGCGCGGAATGGTGGGGGTCTCCTCCGGCTCTGAATCTGAGAGCGGATAATCTACGGGGCCCTCTTCCAGCACTAGAGTGGGCATGGCACCACTGCCCTGCAGCATGGACACCACCTTCTCATGGGAGCAGTTCCTAAATGTACATAGAATAGAATCAATGTGTAATATAATATACAGTAATATAATATAATATAGGACAAAATCAAATAGCATGTTCTCTTAAATAACACTTATAAATAAATGTACAGTTGGTGGGAATTTTTTATTGACATAATTCTATGCTTGTCAGTCCCCCGGAGGCAGTATGAAATAAATTGCTGTGCTCTTGAGATTAGCCAAGAAACAAGCTAAATCATGGCCGCAGGAAACTGATTTACATTTAGGCCTAAACAAACAAACTGTGAAAGCTGGTGGTTTGTTAAGGAGCAGCAGAATAATATAAATGCCTAATATGAATAGTGAAACTAAAAATAGCTTGTTTCCAACCCAATTACCATTTGAACTCATCGCCACATTGTCAACTCTCGTAATAACTCCCTTCAAATCATCATAGAAACAGGCACACAAAGTACTAAAAAGTCACTTTTAGGTCTTTCCCAAATAAAACACAAAATAACAAATTAAAAATACATATTAATAAATAAATAAAAAATCTTCCCATCCACTAGCACACAAAGCATGCTGGAAGCTGAAAACCTAGCCCCTAGCCTCAGTAATGTTTAACTTGTGTTCAAGCCAAATCAATTGAAATGATTTAGTTAAAACACTATTTAAATGGCACATTTGAGTTAAATCTACTTGCAAGTAGTCACACTGTAATTCAAAAGTTTAGGGTCAGGAAGATTTTCATTGTCTCTTATGTTCACCAAGGCTGCATTTATTTAATAAAAAATACAGGAAAAAACTGTAATATAGTGAAATATTTAAATGAATTAAAAATAATATATCATATATTTTAATGTATTTTAAAAAGCCATTTATTCCTGTGATGGTAAAGCTTAATTTTCAGCAGCCATTACTCCAATCTTTAGTGTCACATAAACCATCAGAAAACTTTCTAATATGCTAAGTGCTCAAGAAACATTTCTTATTATTGTCAAGTTTGAAAACAGCTTTGTTGCTTAATATTTTTGTGAAAAGCTTTTCTTTTAGGATTCTTTGATGAATAGAAAATTTTAAAGAGCAGCATTTTTTTAAAATAGAAATCTTTTGTAACATTATAAATGTAATTTATGTGTCCTTGCTGACTAAAAGCTGACTTAATTAAAAAAAATCTTATGACCCCAAGCTTCTGAATGGTATGGTAGTGCAAATAAAATGTTTAGGTTAGGTGACATTGTTACACATTAGGTTAACTTGATTACATGTTTCGTATAACCACTTAATTATTAAAAAAAAAACATAAATTGTATATTCTTAGATAAGTTTACCACAGTATCTACTGTAATATCACTTTACTGATGTGCAACTTTTAAAGCATCATCACAGCATAACAAAAATAAACACACCTCATGTCTAGGCCATTGAGGAACAGTATGCGGTCTCCTGGTTTAAGGCCACACGCCTCAGCTGGACTACCTGTAATAGGAAAACATGGGTTTGGGACTGAGAATGAAACCTCAGACACTTGCAGTGAATAATACACCCAAAGCCACAGACAATCTTTCAGTGAACCGTGTTGATGTGTAATATTGCTGTCCTTTGTGATCGGTTGTTAGTAAAACACTACAAGATACCCCATCTGAGGTCTGAAAGGGAATGTAATCTGTTACTTTCATCACGATGCCACACTCCTACTTGTTTTTATAAGCAGCCCCACACGGGCGGCTGAGTCAGTGTTAACTAGCCTCAGCACAGGCCTGCAGTGGGCGAATATCGTCATATAGACACTCACACACTTACCGCCCTCTCTCCACTCAGAACGTACAATCGTGCAGACTTCAATACAAATGTACCCAAAGCTTGCTCATTAGTACAACAGCCCACTCCTTCCTTTTTCACAGTGCACCAATAAAAAAACCCCACTCCATTCCCCTTGAAAACAAACCACTGAACCCAGCTGTGCTTTCCATGTGCTTTTTTATTACAGCCGCCTCTGTAGCCTACAGCGATATGACCCTCAACGTGGCACAAATTCTGAGTAACAAAACACAGCCGTGTCCTGGAAGATGGTGATTTATATAAGGAGAGCATCTTTACTTGATCAGTGGCTGGTGGCAAAAATATGACGGTAAAAATTCATTTCTAGCACTAGATCTGTATGCTTGGTGGCAGGATGTATAATTCTGGGTCAGATCAGAAACCCTCAGAAAAAGAAAAGCCTGACTCATCTGAGAGTCAAGTGTTTTTTTCACTCTGATTAATAATGAAAGGTTGCAAGTGCTTATGGGTAGATGTCACGATCATTCATACGCACCTGGCATTACTGAGTCGATCCACACAGGAGCGTGACCTCTCAGAGTAAACCCAAAACTCTTCTTACCCCTGTACACACGGATGGTTCTGCGGAGGAAGCAAGAGAGGCATTACTGACCGACTGTAGGTATGTTAAATACTCATAATATTCAATACTTATATTCAAAATAAGTTTTAAAAAATAAAATGATTTTTTCTTTAAGAAAATGACTTATCTGCACAAAACTTACTGCCACAGTGTAATCTATGCAGCTGCTAAGGTGTTCTGAGTGATTTTTTGCATGTTGATTAAAAAGTGTTCTGTGTGGTTGCTTACTGGCCCATATCAAAATAGCAGTTGCCATGGTGTTGTATTGCCGTTTCTAGGGTGTTCTTGGTGGTTGCTAGGGCTTTGCTGGGGTGTTTTGGGTGTTTACTTAGTGGCCCAGGTCAAAAAGTTGTCATGGTGTTACTTTGCAGTCTGGGTGGTTGCTACTGTAGGGCTTTGCTTGGGTGTTCTAGGCAGTTGCTAGTAGGGGTGTAACGGTTCTTGGAAAAAAAATAGAATCGTACTGTTCTCCACCCACGGTTCGGCACGAACTTTCAATGAGGTTCAACTTAAATCTGACAACACATCTGAAATATGGTGTCAGCGCAGATAGCTTTGTGGGCAGCATGCCGACATACAGCGCTGTTGCGCTATGGGTATCCCGAGTTCAAATCCCGATTTGAGGACCTTTATCAATCCCTCCCCTCCCTCTCTCCCACTTTGCTTCCTGTCAGCTCTGATGTGTGCTATCATAATAATGGCACAAATAAATCTTTAAATAATAATAATAATTACAACACGTAAAACAGACAGAGTCCAGCTAATGTATGTTTGTCGATGGATATGCATTCTGGCTTCCCAATACATTACAACAACAGCAATGAAAAAAAAAATGTGTACAAACCAGTCACCCCTTGTCAGTGCGAGTGCCATATACTTGAATATGACCAGTCATTTATGCCATCATCATCCGGGTGTTTATAGCACGCATGCGCAGGTGAGACCTGAACGGTCAAGTCAAGTCACCATTATTTATATAGCGCTTATTACAATGCAGATTGTGTCAAAGCAGCTTTACATTATTAAACAGGGGAATAGTGTCGAAGTAGTGTGCCGTTCTCCTCTGGCCAGACGAAACCAGCAGTTTAATTCTAGGCTGCAACAAAGTCTGATAGCACTCATTGTTATCTGTTTTTAAACTAAACTAAACTCATTTAAGCCTTGCCAGTTTAAATATTAAAGAGCCAGAAGACACGAAGGAGAACTCGCGCGCAGTGAGAAGATCTGTGTGCGCTCATCTGAAGTGCTTGAACCCACATCTCAGAACGTGCAAATCGTTTTCATGTCTTGTGCTTGAATGGACAAATACACACAAAAATTATGTCAAGATGCCTGTCTTGGTAAGTATCCTAGCAAACATAGTCGGTTGAACATAGCCTACAGTTTCAGTGTACTGGATCTGTGCATTGTCTTAAAGTGACAGCACATTTTTTTATTTTTAATATTAATCAAACAAAAAAAGACAAGGAAATCAATCACTGCTCTTGACTGAATAGCTTTTGTAACTTAATAAGGATTAATCTTGAATTTATACAGACAAATATGCAATGTTATTTTACATTTGATTACTTTATTCAATTTCTGTACCTAAAACCTAATGTTAGACCTACCTAAAAAACCTGAAAAGCACTGTTTATATTATTTGTATCTTTGCTCTATTGTATTTATTTGTGCTGTTGCTTGTAATTAGATGATTTATTCTTATTTTCTTTACTTTTGTTTGACAGTATAGTGCTTTTCCCTAAACATAGCACATACCGAACCGTCCCGAAACCGTGACTCTAAAACTGTGACACAAATCAAACCGTGATTAACTTGAACCGCTACACCCCTAGTGGTTACCTACTGGCCCAGGTCAAAACAGTTGTCATGGTGTTGCTTTGCAGTTTCTAGGGTGTTCTGGGTGGTTGCTAGGTGGTTGTTTACTGGCTTAAGTCAAAAGAGCAGTTGTTATGCTGTACTAAATGGTTGTTAGGGCGTTGCTAAGGTGTCCTGGTTGGTTGCTACTGTCCCAAGTCTCTGATATATTCATGTCCTTTGAAATGGCCCACCAATTCCTTAAGTCTTTATGGGATATTTCAAGAGTTTTATAATGCACCAGTCAAAAAAATATGTAAAAATAATAGTACACATCTCCTCAACGAGTAAAATATTAACCTATATGTTTACACTATATGACCAATGCTTTTCAAAGGCCGAACATATGAATATTAATTTATCCCAACTTATGATTCATCCTAAACCAAACAGACAAGTATACTGAAGCATCACTCGATGAGCTATTTAAGAAGGAGATTTAAGATTTCCCTGCTTCTTAGAGAAAACCTATGACATATCATTAGTGTTTAGCTAGCCTTAGTGGTTGCTGTGGCAACACTCACTGGAACCGTTGAGTAAACAGAGACAAGGGAAAGCAGTAGAAACATTTGCTTCTTGTCGCAGTGCCATTTTATATAAGGTGGGCCACCAGAACCAAACACTGATGGCGGATTAGAAAGGGGATGACAGAAAAACAAAGACATAAGAACTCTGAATAGAGATTACATAAGGACTGAGCCAAGGAAGCATTATTTATTGAAGAGCAGCAGCTTATCAGATGAGGAGTCTACAGGGTATCAGCACATCATATCCACTCTTACTGTAGTATTTAATAACCTAAACACTCTGGGTGATACTTCTCTGTTCATATTTTAGATATCACTTTCAATTCACAAATAAAGAATATTGACAGATTGTAGTGACATCGTATAGAAAGCAATATTAATTTAAACCAGGCGACAAGAGGATCTGCTTCTGTTCTGGCTCAAATTCCAATAAGAAGCTTCATGGCTTGAATATGATATGATGGCAATCTTCCTTTTAGGTTAAGTCATGATTTTAATTATTAAAATAGTGTGAAAAGCTGATTATATATCCCGAATTCTAAAACAACCAATTAGTAGATCACAATATGAAAAAATGCTTGTGATGTGGACAGTACATACATGTGTGTGTATGTGTGTAGGGAGGGAAAGCATGAGGCACAGAAACAAACAACTCAATAGTGCTTCTCTCACCCACCCACACACAAAGTCTCCCACATATCACACAGTGTTCTAAGCATTTGAGGAGGCTTCCTGCCGTGTTTTGGTATAAAATTGTCCTTTCAAACCAGTATGAAAGATTAAAACGCTCATTTTATCATAAATAATAGGACATGGAAAAGGAACACCTATGAAAGAGGTGTGCGATACGTACCTCTGGTTAGCTCCAGTGACATAGTGGCTGTGAATCACGGTGGTGCTCTTCCTAAGGCCACGCTCAGGTTGGGCCGGGTCATCGCCGGTATCTCTGGGCACAGAACTGGCCCGTTTCGAGCCTTGCGGACGCTCATGGTGGTCTTGACTTTGGCTTCGGCGGAGCCTGTTTTGGGGCTCGCCAAGGCTCTTGCTACGGCACATGCGGTTGAGGAGACTCTGAGAAACGGCCTCGTCAAAGCGCTGCCGATGCTTCTTGGGAATGAAGATCCTGGCAAACATGGTCACAGCAAGGCAACAGAGAAAAAAGGTCTAAATCAGCTACGAGGAACCATTATTATAAAGACTTTTTAAAGGTTGCTAGTTCAGCTCAGCCAGTCAGTTTTCCCATCTAACGGTTTCTATCACGACCCAAAGTGAAGGAGCTTCAGATCAGAGTCCACTGCGTTCATTCAGGATCACTGTGACACTTCAAAATCCATGAAAACAGGAAAGGATGGCAGAGATAAAAAAAAAAAACTCAAAGAAAGCCAAGTAATGAAGGCAATCCCGATATTTCATGGAAGCTGTGAGGAACTCCAACATGTAGCAGCCTCTCTGAGTGCTGTCTTCATCTGAAACTCCCACTCCAGAAGCTCTGGTACAGATACCAGAATCCAGCAATAGCAAAGGTGTGGGAGTACATCACACTACCGCCTCTCTCTCTCTCTTTCACTCGCTGTCTCCCTCTCTTTCCTCATTCTCTTTTTGCTGTTCCTGATGTTCCATGCTCTCTGGGAACAGCATCAAATCTCATATGCAAGAGAGCAAATTCAAAACTCGCAGCATGACATTCGAAATATAATTGAAAAGATTCAGCGCATACTGAATTCAGTGAGATTTGAAGTGGGGAAAATGGCTAGACAAAAACGTTTGGGAAAAACATTTGGCAGAGAGGAGACAAATACAATTTTAACTCTGATAGCTTCACCTTTATGGGATTCTGAATAGAAATAAGGCCATGTTTGTCACATTTATGCAACGTTGGCGGATATGGAAAAGCCTGTTATGCCGCCCACCAGGGAACCAGAAAAAGACCCCAATTGAAAAACCTCAGCAAATGTAACCTTAGTAACCTCGACAAGTGTAACATCAACGCAATTCTGTCTGCTTTGTTCTCTGAAGGTGATGTATCGACATTAGCATTTAAAATAATTCCATGTGTTTATCAAACAAAAAGCACATTCATTTTCTGAGTCACGGCATTAATTCTCCTGATATTTGTAAGTCTCTTATCGTCACTGACAGACTGTAATCAGGCTAATGGATTATGAACACAAACTGAATGTAACTAATTTTCTTTTCCATAGATCAGACATTATTTTAATACTAAACATATCAGAGTTATAGGCACAGAAAGGGGACTATCTATAGTGCTTTTCTGTCATCATTTACTCACCCTCACAAACACAGAGACATTTAAAAAATATATAGGTTTGGAAAGACACGAGGCTGAGTAAACGATGACGCAAATATCATTTTTGGGTGAACTATCCCTTTAAGTAAAACATACACATTTGTTTTTCTTGATTTCAGTCTCTATCATTCTGAAGGACACAGACACCCTGCACACAGATACTATATAATCGTAACCTGGAAATATGATTTAAAATTATACAGTTTCACAATATCATTTTTTTCTCCCCATTGCCTGGATGACAGTATTGACAAAACCACACCATTAGACAATTCTAGAGTGCAGAGTTGCCTCAGGTTCACATTATTATGGAGGCACAGAGAAAGACACAGTGACTTAATTGAGCGGCCAAACGCTGCATTAATGGCAGCAGTTCCAGACAGCAGACAAGAATAAAATAAAGAATTAAGCACCCTAAGAGGCCACTAGAGTACAAACCTTAGCTTACGTAGAGTACTAAAGCACTACTGCCAGTATTATAAATGACAGCATTCACCACAGCACATTAACATTGATTGTGCTTTTCAGAAAATGTGGATGGAACTACCATTGCCAGACTATATTTGCATTTGTAATGTGAAATTCATTTGAGGAGGTTAGATGGTACCATGCTTTGCCTATTTGTTTTTAAGAAAAAAACAACTTGAATGGGAAATTTTGAGGAAAGGTTAATATGAGTTGCTCTGTTTTGATATTTTAATTACACACTTTGACAGCACTATTGCAAAACACAATGGCGTTTTTATTAATTCTTTTTTAGTTCACCGTAATATTTAATTCAAAATTATTTATATAGCTCTTTATTTGTGGACAGAATAAAAGGAAAAATATGAATCACCAAACTAGTGAAGATAAACCAAAACAATTAATAAGCCATGGAATCTAACATTCAAAAGCTTAGGATCAGTAAGTTTTATTATTATTATTATTATTATTATTATTAAAAGAACTTGTTTAATTGATTGTATAACTGAAGGATCATGTGAAAACTACATTAATGCTGCTGAAATTCAGCTTTGCCATCACAGGAATAAATTAAATTTTAAAATTGTTTAATAATTTTTTTTTATTAGTTATTTTAAATTGAAATAATATTTCACAATAATAGTGGTTTTACTTTATTTTTGAGAAATAAATGCAACCTTGGTGAGCATATAAGACAGTTAATTCAAAAACATTTTAAAAATCCTATGACCCCCAAAATTTTGAACAGTTGTTTATCTCTAAAATATCACTGTATAACTGACACAATGTGCCTGATTTAGCAGCAATGAACACAGTCTGCTCACAAACCTTTCATATATGACAAGTTAAAATCTTAGACATATTAAACAATCTTATAACAGACACAAAATGAATCAACAAATCAAATCACAATGATTTTCTTAGTAAAATACTGTAAATTTAAGAGACATATTCCACAATGAATAATATTAAAGTTTAATGAAAAGTACTCACCCACAGCAACTCATCTTTTAGTTTATCATGACTCAGAACAAGGTGAAAGTGAAGTGGCTACTTAAGAGATATATTCAGAAAAACGAGTGTCACTTTAACCCAGAGGGACGTAATTTAACAGCCTCTGATCCATCAAGAGCCATTGACTACAACTGTCTAGAGACCGCTGCCTCTCACATTGACCTGCAGAAGATCAGCCCCGAATAATGTGCAGAAAATCCATGAGGTTCACAAAGAGAGAAAGAGTGAGATTATGTGTCGGCAGAAACTGAGACACGTACCTAATATAGTGAGAAAAGGCTGATAAATGTATATAGTGAGAATTAAATGAGACCAGTGATATTATTTTACCAATTCACGTGTTTAATTGGGCAGGACAGGTTATAGGATACAAGCTACTGTATGTTGTAAATATATATATATATATATATATATATACTGTATATATATGTGTGTGTGTGTGTGTGTGTGTGTGTGTTAAATGTACATGAAAAATGTAAAATGTATTAGGCTTACACTACCATTCAAATGTTTGAAGAAATAAAAAAAATAAAAAAACTTTTAATCAGTAAGGATGCACTAAATTGATCAAAAGTAAAATCATTTAAATGTTACAAAAGATTTCTAAAATGCCTCAAATAAATGCTTTAAATGTTCTATTTATCAAAGAATTCTAAAACAAAATGTATCAGATTTCACAGAAGCAATAAGCAGCAAAACTGTTTTCAATGTTGATAATAGAAAAGTTAGCACCAAACCTGCGTATTAGAATGATTTCAGAAGGATCATGGGGCACTGACACTAAAATTCAGTTTTTACCATCACAGGAATAAAATACATTTTAAAATATATATAAAAAAAAAAAAAAAAAGTTATTTTAAATTGAAATAATATTTCACAGGGTGTGAATGATGAGCAATCATATTCTGTGGATAAAGATAGTGTCAAGAACTGGCAAATGATTTTCTGAAGTGAATTTTTCTACTTTATAAAAAAAAAAAAAAAAAAGTTATTTGAAATTATAATAATATTTCACAAGATTATGATTTTAAGTGCTAATTAGGCGAGCATACGAAACTTCAAAAACATTAAAAAAATCCTAAACATTAAAAATGAAAAAAAAACAGACCCCAAACTTTTGAACAGTTCAAACTTTTTGAACTCATTTTAAAATGTTGTTTGAAATATTTTTCTCTCTTCAAAGCATTCAGTTTCTTGATGAATAATGAATAAGAACAACAAACTTGTGATTACTTCTCTAAGATGGCTAAATAAACAGTCACACCTTAAACTGAACAACCATGGCTTGCCATGTAACCTAAATAATGGATTTCAAGAAATGATGATGATTGTGCCCAGATACATCTTTAGTGCCAACTAAAAGAGCATATCTCAGTTGAATTGGAAACTGGCTAATGTCCCAGTAGGCAAATGCAAACTAAATCTACCCAGACCGGCTTAAAATCTGTCCTAGATAATATTCAAATGTACTAGATCAAAAAAGATTAACTATACTAAGTACCAACAGTTCAATATGGTTAATTTCCTTCCACAAGTTCCATGTGTCATATTCTTATATTCTAGTTCAACTGCAGCACATTTAGATTACAAAGTACATCCCAAGGAACTCAAGATCCCCATGCTGCTGAACACATGGTGATCTCCATTCACCACCCTTCACCAGATATCTCTCTAAAGAGGATTATACAGTGACAAAGGTTATTATCTCATAATACAAAGGAACGACACCCATACTGCGCTGAGGGAATAGCTTGTCTCTATTTAGCAAACACAATATTGAACACTATACTGTATGTAACCTTAATGATGTTCTTTCTCTGATAAATTGAGGAAAGCTGTCTTGCAAAATGCAACCTATGTGTAACATACAGTATTTCTCTTGCACCAGACAAAATCTATTGTACTAATAATTTTGAATAATGGCAATAGCATACACTACCATTTACCATAAAGTTTGTGGTTTGGATTTTTTGGTCACACTTTTTTTTAAAGGTCCAATTCTCGCCATTAACAAACCATTAACCATGACTTTAGCCTCAATAAACTCCTAATTCGCTGCTTATTAATAGTTAGTAAGGCAGTTGTTAAGTTTAGGATTAGGGAGGTGAAATATGGTCATGCAGAATATGTGTACTAATAAACAGCCAATTTATTAATAACAGGCATGCTAATAAGCAACGACACTAAATAAGGTCCCTACACTAAAGTGTTACAGTTAATACTTGTATTCAACACAAGCGCATTAAACTGATCATACATTACAGTAAAGACATTTATAATGTTACAAAAGATTTCTATTTTAAATATGCTGTTGTTTTTATCAAAGAATCCTGAAAAAAATGATCACAGTTTCCACAAAAATATTAAGCAGCACAACTATTTTCAGCATTAATAATAATAGGAAATGTTTCTTGAGCACCAAATCAGCATACATTGATTTCTGTCTGAAGAATCATGCGCTACAAGTAATGTGACTGGAGTAATGGCTGCTGAAAATTCAGCTTTGCCATCTCAGAAATAAATTATATTTTAAAACATATTAAAATAGAAAGTATTTTAAACAGTAATAATATTTCACAATATTACTGTTTTTTTAATCATATTTTGATCAAATAAATGCAGCCTTTCTGAGCATAAGAGACTTCTGAACCCAAACTTTTGAACATTAGTGTACATTAAAGTATATTAAACAACAAATCACGTGAAAACACCTCGCTTGTTATTCCACATAAACTGTCCCACTAAGCATCATGTGCCAAACAGCTTGACACTGCCCAAAGAGAAGCCGACAAATGGATCAACACTAAAATTCTCTGTCCAGTGCCGGTTTATGTTATTGACCCAGTTGGCATTAAGGCATAGACTGGACTGGAAAAGGAATTTCACTATTAACTGTGCCAGCACACAGCAGAGGGATTGAAGATGATCAGTTTACATGGCAGCACCAGATGGAGACACATCTATCAGTGGCCTTATTAGGTCATACCAGTTTATACTGTAAGCCACACTGCTTAATTCTATAGCAAACACAGAGAAATGAAAGCGTGTTTATGTTTACTGCAAATGTGCATCATAGTATGACATAAATAACAAGAACAGCAAAGAATTTACTAAAGTTCTATTCATATATTCAGCAAAACCTACATTAAACTGATGCCCTCTGGTGGCCTTCAAACTGTTCTGCACGGCTAAATACAGTAGCAGAAAACATCTGGGTCAGAGTGGCCCTGAGATGGAGGTTAAAAATTAATGAGCGCTGTAGGTGGCAGATGGGGTTGTCATGGTACCTGATGTTTAAGATGAGCTGTTGCTGCTCTTCAGTTGTCAAGATGTCAGGAAGAACGGAAGCAAGCCAGTCCACCTTCCTCTCAGCAGCAAACTGTTTCAGTACAGCAAACAGTTTCTCTTTCACCTCTGGTTCATTCCTCAAAATCTCCTCAACCTGAAACAGGAATGATTGTGATTTGGCACCTCTTTCATTTCATAAATTCGAAAAACATACGTTTGCCACATAAACTCACCCTCCTATTGAACTCCAGAGCCTTGTGTTTGCGGTCTTGACGCATGCCATCTGTGTCTTTCTGAGAGCCCTCTAGACTCCCGCTGCTGCGTTTCTGGCGACTGCCCATGCACAGCACCCCAAGCCGCAGCGTGCGGCCCTGAGAGGCCTTTATCAAAGCGGCTGCCATCTCATGGTGCTTCACTGGGATCCCATTCACCTCCATGACATAATCTCCAGCTCTGAGACCACTGCGACCCGCTGGGGAGCAGGGGGAGCAATCCTCCACCAGCAGGGGGCAGTCTCCCACGATAGTGAAACCGAAGCGACCATCAGGGCCTGGAGTGATATCCATCTGCAGGCAGGCCATAAAATGCAACAGACTGTAAATATTGTGATGGACAGAACTGAATGAATAGTTTGTATTCATGTCGGTTTCTGAAGGTTTTGAAAAACTTTTATAAATAAATTTTTCATATATTTCAAGGGAAGTATTGGTACATTTTCAAGAGTATGATTTTTTATATTTTTATCTTGAATTATTAATTCATGAATAACATTTAGATTTTTGGAGAGTCACACATCATGACATTTTAAAATAAATAAAATATGTCAAAAAATAAATAAAAATAAAAAATAAATAAATATATATATAATAAATAAGTACATATATAATATATGTGTGTGTGTGTGTGTGTGTGAATTGTTTTTTTAAGAATTTCAAGTTTTAAGGTTTTATTCTTTCTTGATATCATATCACCTTATGCCATCAAAAATATAATTTTTTTCATAGAATATGAGTATTTAAATCAATATATGTATGAACTGTTATATTATAGTTTTTTTATTGACATTTTGAGTTTTTTTTAATTAGCTTTTATTTTCTCAGGTTTCATTTTAATTGTAGGTAATTTTTTAGCAATTTTGTTTTGTGATTTTGTCATTTTTATTAGATGTTTTAATATTACTATTTAGGCTTAATTTATTTTTAATTTTATTTTTAGTTTTATTTTTAGTTCAGTTCAGCTGTACTTTTCATTTATTTTCAGTTCGTAATTTTAGTGCATTTTACAACCTGAACTAACCTTGCTTTGTAAAAAAAAAAAATAAAATAATTAAATGAAATATAAAATAAATATATAAATGTGTGGGGGTGG